GCACATTCCAAAGACCAAGGCTGTCTCTGGGAGAGTTGGGCATCAGATGTGTTATGACTACTGTTTATCAGACATTAGACATCACCAATAGACATCCTTGGGAAAGAGGCTACATTCTTTGGGAAAGAGGCATATAATAGAGTGATTTCTTTTTGTCCATGTCTGTTGATTCTCGAGACAACTCGGTTTGCTTGTATCCTGTGTGATGCGAATGAATCCTGCAAGTGAAGTGAAACTGTCAATTCTCTTTGCTTTCTGTAAGTCTGACCATTCTGTGTACCTTCAGTGTGAGTTTGTGGTCTCTCACTATAGTAAGATAGCTAAAAGTTTAAGTCAGATAAACATCAATTGAGGTGCATTGAGACAAGAAAAATTAGACCACAACAGCAATCAGCAGAGCGTTTTTACACCAGATGATGTATTCTAATGAGTTTGATGATCCCCTGACTTTTCATCTAGCGCCACTATCGGGTTAAAATATAAATGTATCCAATTCTTTGGGTTACGATGAAATACCTGCAAAAAGAATGACATTCCCAATGATCTCAGCTGTACTTTGTCTTGTTTGTCTAGTGCTAATTAGCAAATGTTAGCACATATATACTCTGAACTAAGATGGTATGTTAAACATGATACATGCTACACATCAGTATGTTAGCATTGTTATTGTGAGCATGTCACCATACAAATATTAGCATTTATCTCAAGACGCTGCTGTGTTTAAGTACATCCTCACAGAGCTGCTAGCATGGCTATACTTCACATGTTTTCAACTGTAGTGTGACTATAGTTTTAATACTTCAGGATGAGTGTGAACGACACTCTCACGAAACAGTGACCATTTTTGTGCTTGTTATATGTTTATGGCAGTGCATCTGCTCCCATTGTCTGAGAACAGTGTGGCTCTTAGGTAACACTGCATTCATTGCATGTTCACAGTATATCATACATACACGCAAACATGTATGTGTGCGAATATTGTCTGCCACTCTGCATGGCACTGCGAGTCGTAGTGCTGAGCTCGTCTAAATGAAGGCCCTGACCTGAGCTGACACCTGTGGACTCTGCACAGAAGATAAGATTAGATCATGCCCCTGGACACAGGTACAAATACACACTCATATGCTTAAACAGTGGTACAAACACATGATTACACAATATGAAAAGCAAATTCAATGATGTCTCGATGTCTCTTTTAGGTGTGTAATATATAAATAAGTCCAAACAGGTTTGGTGCAGATTTGGTTGGTAAATGTTCGTCACTCTGATGTCAGTTGGAAAAGGTAATCAATATTAACCATGTTGCCCATTGCAACTGGCACAAAGTCAAGGCAGTGTTTCACTACTACTAATGCAATAATGATAGTGCTTATCTCCTCATTGTTCCATCTGTGTAGTACAGGGCCATATAGCTTTATTGTCTCTTAAAAATTATATCCTATCTGCAAGGGGGTTGGTATAAATATTTATATTCCTGTTTTTTCTGTCTGTTCTCTTTAGAAGATAAGCAAAGAGCAGTAAAAGATTATCATAAACTGTACACAGTTTTAAACTGAGGAGTCTTTCAGTCCTTAGAAAGTAATACCAAACAAGACCACAGCGTTTTTTATATTCAGCAGGAACTTAAAAATTATTGATGTTTCTTCAATTACACATCAACAGAGATGCTTTCAAATAAGGTGCATGACAAAAACAGCATGCAAAGGAAAAGGAGAGGTTATTCACACATCTGAAGTTTCCCCAAAAATGTATTGATGCTGCGTTATGACCTACAAGATCTTCGCCAAGCAGACATCCATATGGACAAAAAGCCAAAAAGGATATATATAGACGAATCACACCAGAAAAAAACGCAGGTGGACTTAATAACAGTATTGATGGCTCATTTCCATTAAGTGCCCCAGTAACAGTGACAGTAAACCAGCATGAACAATGGCAAGACCTCCACTAAGTGGAATGCAACTATCATTAATACACATGTGAGTTTCATGCTATGCCAAAATGTCTGCTGTGCAACCATCATCTATTCTGTTTATTGGTCCGATTCCTCATCCATTATCGATTCCTGATCTATTTTCTGTATGGAAAAAAGTAGGCCTACCTTTCAGCTGTTTTATTATCTGTTTTATATCGGGTCTAAACTCAGTGTAGAGAAGAGTAGAGTTATAGTAGTTTGAGTTCCTTAGTGAGATGAAGCAACGCTTTAGATGGTTTCTTCCTCTGTGCAATGATTCCTTCTCGTTGCAAGTTTCCAGCAGTTTGTCGCCATGGTTTTGTAACATGCAACTGTCAGATGAGCTTAATAAGATTGGTGGCATATGATTCTGATGAACTGGACAATTTGGAACTAGATCTCATCTGAAACTGGTTCTCGAGTCCCATCCCTATACAGACGTGTCCTTTGTGTGTGATTCGTTACCATAAATAAATTAAATGTTCTGTGTGTAACATTTAGGAGTATCTGTAGAAATGCAATATAATATGTAAAACTATGTTTTTATTACGTTATTCGTTACCTCAGAATGAGCTGTTTTTATCTACAGGAGCAGGTTGAACCACCATGTTTCTACGGTGTCCAGAACAGACAAACCAAACACTAGATGCCACTAAATTCTACATACTGGTCCTTTAAAAAATCACAAAAATAGACAAAAACAATCCCACCAACATTATTTGAAATCTTACAGTTTTTCATGTAGGAACAAGGTTTTCAAGTAACAATTATGTGACAATTAACCATCAATCTGGTCCAGAATTGTCAAGAAATGTTTTATATTAATGCCTTATTTTCTAAATTAACTCAAAGCACATTACCTTAAAGGATAGGTTTAACATTTTTCAAATATGATTTAGTGGCATCTTGCAGTGAAGTTACCGAGCAAAGCAACAGTGGCAACTGTTTCACTGAATTTCTGAGCATAAAGTATTGCTTTAAGTCAACTTTATCCTGCTTGCTTTAAGTCAACTTTAACCTTTTTTCCTGCACATTTGATTAATTTCTCAACCGGACCTTTATTTCCCTCTTTCCACATCTCTTTCTATTAATTTTGTGTAATGCATGTCTTTACTTTATTTAAAGCATGTTGAATTCCCTCAATCATGCAAAAATCCTTTATGAGGTTCTAAAGTGGCTCTAATGTGTGTGCCTGCTTGTGCACCAAGCAACAAACCTGTAAAACAGATTAACTTTGAACTGTGAGCTCTGCACCAGAGGTCAGTTTAACTCTGTCCGTTCCACTTTTTTTTATCTATATATACTTTTATATTAATTCTGCAATAAACTAATGCCCAATAAAAAGCAATGAATGATTAAATAAAAATAGCTGCATAAAAAAACTAGTATTGTTAGAACACAATCTCTCCTTCATCACCCGACCAGTACTATCCTGCTTGTATGCCTCCTGTGTATCTTTAATCATATCATCCCCCTATCTCCACCTCTCAGTGTTTTCCTCCTTCCACTGACACACACTGATTTATCATGGTTGTGTTTCAAAGGGTGAACACTGTCATGTCATTGGCTGAGAGCCTGACAACACCCACCCAACCATAGGGGTGTGACGGGGGAGGAGAGGGAATAAGGGGGGGGGGTTAAACAAGGGTCTGTTTAGTCAGGTCACATGTTGCTTTCACTGGAAATGCATGACAGTTTAGAGGAACAGGCACCGTCTTCCTATCCATGTTTTGTGTCTGCTCCTTTAAAATGGAAATGGTAGTTCATATAAAATTAAACCTTCAACCCACCACCTCCACCTCTTATCTCCTCCCTCTGTGCCCTCGGTCATACTGGAGTGATCAGGCTTCTGAAACAACATATATTCACCCAACAACTGCCCAGGGTCACCTTGAAAAAACCAGCATGGTCGCACCAAAAGAACATGTCAGTTCAGCAAACTAATCCAACAGGAAAAGATTTCCCAGGGCCAAGTTAATGAAGAAGCACTTTTTTTTTTTTTGGCAAAGCTTGTGTCACTTTTCTTGGCCAAGTAACTGCTCAAATTCAACTGTGACTTCATGAATGAATCAAATTTTAGATGGTCACAAGGTCTGATGAAAAGATTATTGACAACAAACATCTTTTATTCTCTCAGCGAAGAGACAGAACAGGGAGTTAACTGTTAAGCATGGACTATTTCTGTTGTAAATGATCAAGAGATTGAGGATCAAAGAAAGGACTCTGAGTTATTCCAAGATAAAGAATACAAGCTTAATCAGCCCCGCTCTAAACCAGTTATTATGCATTTGGGCAACTTGTATCTAGAAAGATGTAACTTTTGATCACACATTTTCATACATAAATGTACATCTTTTGCATGTAAACACTAGTGATACATTTAGTTTTCCAAACTGGACCACTATAACAAGGATAATGTATCAAATCTGGTGTTTTATAGATGAGAATTTACATTATGCTGATTTTACCAAGAAGATAATTAACTTTCAGTCGTCACCTGGGGCTATTTTTAGCAGATCTTGTGCCAAATTTTCACATTCCTGCTGAACAGCTGGCGGAAGTTTATCTTGCAAGGGTTTCATTTCAGGTTGTTTTGTTTAGAAAATTTGCTGATTATGTTACAAATTAATTACTGTTCCTCATTTAAATTTTATTTATTACCTATTTTATATGTAGGTATGTGTATATGTGCATATGTATTTCACTTTCACTTACTTTTATTTACATAATCAGATGCAATTGTTGTACTAATTTGTTTTTCCATGGACCCCGGGAAGAGTATCTGTTACTCTGGTAACAGCTAATGGGGATCCAAATCGAGTCAGTAATGGCTATGCTAAATCCACATTAAAAGTAATGTGATTTTATTTTATGATGTTTTCTGTTGGGCTTATATCTCGTAGAGCACATTTTGTACCAGTATAAGTTAAATTTGCTCGCCTTGGTAAAGTATATGGCCACCTTGCAGAAGATGCTTTACTGTATGTTTTGTTTCACTGACTACAGTTTAACACTAGATGGAGCAAGAGTCGTTCCCTTGATGCTGAGACTGCATCAGTGTGAGGGTGAGCATACAAATCTGCAGCTTTCTTGCCAAACTGAGCCTCCTGGGTGAATAAAAAAATCCTTTTATACGAAATAAAATGAAAACACAAGTTTGAAAGTCCAGTGTTTAACATTTAGGAGGATCTTGAATATAATATTCATAGGTAT